TCTTCAGCGGGTAAAAACATCTATATACAGATCATTACTCTTTATGAAATAAAACACAAGCGCTAATTCAACTCTCTGCTTAGAAGTTTCTCCTTATGTTTTCAAGAACTTGTGACCTTTGAGACAATGTTTTAAAGTTTTTCATCCCAGATGACCCACTTAGCAGCATACTTAAAACATATGATTAAATGAGCCTGCTGCTGCTGAAAACACAGATGCAGCACTGCCAAAATAAAAGTCACAACAGCAGATGTCTGACACCGTGCCTGGCACATACACCAACCATCTTCTCCCCAGGAACCTCTCCTGGTACACCACCTACCTACTTCAACCTCCTCCCTGCATACAAGGGGAGATAGAACACCTCCTAACAGGACAGCCCTGCTGCCTGGGCCAAACTTCCCTTTCCAAAACTGTCTCTCCACCTCCTTCCTCAGAAAATCAAAGTAAGTAGGGATGCAACAGGGAGGACAGCAAGTAGGTTAATGAACTGATCAAAGAAATACAGGAAACAAGTGAGTTGAGGTAAAGATAAGGCCTCCAGTGTGATATAATAGCTGGGACACAGAGGCAAAAGCACAGCTGGTAGAGGGACAAGTAGGAGGACAGAGTGATCCCACTTGGAGCTTTTGGTATCCTCTTTTCCCTCGGCAGAAAGCTTAGGGCTCTGCACCTGAGCAGCCCAGGCCATCTCAAATGACAGCACTTCCCAGCCCTATCTTCTGCTTTATTGTGGAGAGGCAAATCCAAGATGAATTTCCCTCTCCTCCTCCTTGCCTGCTTCATGTCTGCAGGTAGCTCATGTTGAGAGTGTCTCCACCCCTGAGAGCAGCTGCTGAACACTTTGTGCTGCAATGTGTGCCTGGTAGGAGCCCGTCTCTCCCTGATCCCCATTCCCACGGCTGTGTGACTCTTTTACCAAAACGCCTGTGGCTTAATGCAATTTCCATGTGGATCCTAGAATACTTCTATGAAAACAGATTGAAAAAAACAGCCAGTTTGATCCTCTGTTTTCAACTGGTATGGGTTTGAAAAATTTAACTTAGTCCTTCAAGGGGCCATTGCAAAAGCTACTTTCTATCAACATTGTTCCTGAATCCAGCTGCTACCATGGCAGCTTAGAAAGAGATAGACTATTGTCAACACTGTCCAAAACAAACTGGAGAAAAACACCCAACAAATAAAACCAAACAGCAAGATCAAAATTTTCTGCTGGAAAATTTAGATTTTGCATTAATTCTGATACCCTTAAAAATATGAGTGTACAAGAAAAAAGAAACTTCTGTTTAATCTTCTGTGCTCTGTCCCTCGGTTAAGTCTTTAAATTCTCTTAGCTCCTCTTCCACTACACATCTACTGCTCCATCAAACTCGAAGTGTTTGTTATAAGAATAAAGAGTTTTTAACCACGCTAAGCCTTCATATGGTCTCAATTTAGTTTCATCTGTACTTTACATTACGGTATGATGCATCTGTCCAAATTCTATTGTTAAAAATTCTTGTGTAAAAGAGAACTTGCATGGAAACTATGCAAAAGAAGTAGCTCGTTTGCAATGGAGCACCAAATTAAGGCCAAAATGCAAAGTTGTAAACTGAAAATTATGAAAATGTCTTGGCAGCAACAATAATTTAGGTGTATAGATAAGCAAATAAATGAATAAAAATAATTTTTTCTTAAAACCAGGTTATAACAGAACAGCAACTACTTTAAAACTACCATTTACAGCTTCTCAGAGCATAAAACAAAGGTCTTTTTAGCCTTTTTGACTCCAAAAGACTAGAAGGTAAAATGAATGAGGTGGCTTAAAACATGCTTCCCATAAATTTGTCTTGTTTTTACACATGAAATGGAAGAAAAAAGAATATCTGCTTAGACACGTACATAGGCTTGCCAGCAAAATGATGCCCATATAAAGTAAAACCTCACTTTTGAAAATGTTGTTTACAACGCTATGACATTATACATTGCTTAATGAGAAAATAAGATCTAAGCAGTCTGAATTAAAAATGTGTTCTCTGCCCTTTCTCAAAAACGCAGCATTCCATCTCTCTCAAGCAGCAAGGATAAAAATTGTTAACATTTTGATGGTGTTCAAACACAGAGCACCTAGAATTACTGAAATATTTAGGAAGTCACTAATTTTCAGTCCCTCTACATACTACTGGGGACTTTTCACATCCAAACTTTTTTATGCAAAAGTCATGACACCAAGTAAGTAGAGACTGTTAAATATATAGAAACCATTATTTCAGACAACATAATAGCAAGATTAATGAAGGACCAGAATTCATCTACTTAAAAGGGGAAAGGCAGCCAAAGTAATATTTCTGCTAGCATACTTTTCATTCTTAGTATTTTTCCAGTCAGTGTTTGGAAAGAGGAAGATACATTAAAGGTGTTGCCATCTGTTGCTGATTCCAAACTTGTCTTCTAACCTTTCCTTTACTCTCCACAGTGCAGCACTTCAATGTCCTGTTTACTGTCTACCACAGTAGGTAACCTGCTTATGCATTTCCCTCTCCCTGCTGAGATCAGGAAACCAACATTTACCAGCTTCATAAATTCTGTCAGCATCTGGCAGACCTTCCAACTGGCCATAAATCAATATACAGGGACCTGGTGTGGCAGCACCTTCCATGACACAGGGAAGGACTTTTCCTGTCCCACAGCTCTGGGCAGGAGGTGGCATGGCTGGACTACCCCATCCTTTGTTATTCCCCTTGAGGGAGCTCTCTTCAAAGACCTCTGGAGATGGTAATTTCCTGTGTTCATAGGGTACTGAGTGTCCACAGTAAAGCCCATCTCTGCAGCTGCTGCTTTTCAGGAACAGATCTATCCTTAGGCACAGCACTGTTCAATCCAGCAGTGAGCCAGCACCAGCTTGCTGTGGAACAGAGGGTGTGGTCAGGCTGCTTCCACCTCTGGCATAGACAAACACCTCCTGGTGCTAGAGAAGGTAATATAAATATTAGATCTAAAACCAGAAGCTGTTTTTTGCAACTCCTTTGATCAGATCAATTACATCAGGGTCCTCTGAGGAGAAATTGAATTAAAAATTTGATTTTGCAGGATTATAGAGAAAAATTATCAAAAAAACCCTAATCCTCAGTTATACTTAGATCCAAATTCTGAATCCCATCTTCAACATTACTTCTTCAGCTGGGCTTTGTTCTTAATATCATTCCTCAATTGGTTTCCATTTCTAACCCCAATTTGCCAGAAAGCCTACTTTCACATGTTCTGTTTCATCTCTTTTTTAATTCAATCCCAACGGTAGCCCTGCAAAGTCACAGGACCAACATGAGAAGACAGTGAACACCATGGGAACTCAGTGTAGAAGGGCTCAGTTTGGCTCCCCATCAAAACTTGTTGGCCCTTCTCCAGGCCAGTATAAGTTAGCAGTAAAGCCCAGGGTTTGCAGCTTGAGCTAGTGGTGGAAGTTTTAAGCCCCCAGTCACTGCTTTAGGTGCACCTTTCCTCCAGTATTTAGTTCTTAATCTGGGAAACTGGCTTTGTAGTTCTCATTTTATATTTTTTTCCTTTTGCTTCATCTCTTTCCATTTCCACAGGGAACACCCGCAGCCTGATCTTAAAGACTTCTTTGTTTTCCAAAGAACTGAAGAATAATAGCTATGTTAACAGGTGGTTTGGCTTTACCTACTTGAATTGCTGAACTGCCTTAATTACTTTAACTTTGAACTGGTTTTACTCATCCTCAAACAGAATTATACCTCTGAAGACTTAATGCAGTTAAGTATTTAAGCACTTTCTCCTGGCTGGGAACACTCCTGCTGAAGAGTTAAGGAGATCATGTAAACAGCTTCATGATTCTGAGCTAAAAAGTTTGATAGAGTATTTGCAGCTCCTTACTGGGTCACTTTAGACATGTTTTGTTGGTATGTGTCTCAAACAAATGGGCTTGAAGATTATTTAAAACTTGTTTTGCCAAAGAAATGTGAAAATACTGTCTATATCACATTTTGCCTCAGAAATGTTATACTCCTACTGCAGAACTCCTTTTAGTTTGCTAAAAATAGTCTTTCTAAGGGACAGCATGTGCTTTAATGTTTGTCCCAATCTTTCCAAGTAATTTTTTACTTCTCTTATTAAGTCTCTTTGGAGGTACAAGATGCAGAGAAACAGTGTCTTTTTCCATTGTTAATTTCTCACTGCACTTTGCTGTTAAATACCATGTACTTAAGAATGAAGATTCAACTGTAATAATGCATTTGTAAAGAAGGGAACTGTGAGGAATAAAACCCAGAAAACCAGGTATCTGACATGTATGTGAAAATAAAGTACCAATACCACCTGAAGAAGAATGTAAAAGTGAACAAAAATTTGATTTTGCAGCTTGGTATAATATTTTAAATGAGGCAGTGTATTTTAAAACAGTGATTGAAATGCTGCTTGTCTCATCTGCTTATTCAGCTGTCTTCACCATTTCCAATGGATCTCTACCCCAGCTCAGCTGCTTACTGGGAGCAACTTTGTTATGTACTCTTATTTAAATTTCTCTTTGAAATTCCCTGGAATTCTAACTTGCCAGTGGGGACAAACGATCTTTAGAAACCTGTGTCTTTGTTGTCTGACAGAAGTGTGAACAGCTATTCAATAAAAGGGAAATTTCCATCAAAGTGAAAGTGCATGCTCTGATTTTATCTTTTTGATTTTATTATTAGATTTGTGGGTTGTCAGGAAAATGTTTCTCTCATTTTCCTTTTTTACAGTTCTTCTTTGCTACCACTGAGATTGTTAATTTTGCAGAAAATCTTGCACCTTATTCTTAATATTAAAATTTTAAAGTAAAACGATATCTAAGGTAACTATGGCAACGATGAGAAGAGACAAATGGCAGAAGCAAAAATATCAAAGTTTAACATCTGTATGAGACAGTTAAGACTTATGCTCCTAGGAAGAGAAAAAAGGAAGGGAATATATAATTTCAAGCTAAGATCACTGAATCTGCTGATGCTTTAGAAAATGCAAATCTTATTTACCTGTGCAATCATGTCTGCTGTTTCAGAGTAACTACGGCACTTTTTCACAGCTGAACGAGCCAGAAAGTCATCAATCAGCCTTATGCCAATGCTGTATCCCCTGAGGAGGAAACAAGGAAAGGCAACATTTTAAATGGGGAGCTTCTTTCCACCTGCCATCTCCCTAATGCGTCTCTTGCGCTTCCTCAGCAAAACAGCTGCGTGATCCTAATTGAGGGACTTAAATAACAATAACAACACATTTTGCTGGTCTACATTCTTCTTTCTGCCACATTTTACAGCACAGTGGGACTGCTGTTCCTGTAGTCATTTAAGGAATCATACTTCTTTAAGCATGATAGTCCTGGCAAGGATGATATGAATTGTCTACACAGTTTGCACATTGTCTATACGTATGGACACCAATCCTGGGCACCCTCGTTGCAGCATTCAGGTGCCATAGGAAATTCACTCACACCTGATCTCTTTCACTTTCTCCTCTTACCTCTTCACCTCATTTATCATTTTTCCTTCACAATTATCTGTTTGTCTTCTTTTCTAACGTTATTTCCCTCCATCTAACTAGTTGACCAAAACAACCCCAGAAGTTGTTAGTTAACACATGTTACCAATAGGTAAAGGCTTTATAAAGGCAGGGCATTGGAACACGGCTCCAGCCTGTGACTCAGGCTAAGCAGAAGGGAACTATGGGAGGGTGACTAGGCTGGAAGAAGGGTAGAGAAACGTGAGAGATGAGAAGTGAGACATGTGAGATGTGCTGTGTGACTGCCACATATCCACATCCTGTCTGCATTGTGGTGTATAGTGGTTGGTTGACTTGGGCTTGCTGTGCCTTAAAACTGTGTAAACTGGTAACAGGCTAACTGCTTAAAAAGGCTGGGTGTTTGGCAATAAGGAGCACTCCTTTGTACCTGCCTGGGGTCCCTGGGTCGCTCATTACCACAACAAATGCAGGGTTCTCATACACTGCCATGTCCATTTTGTATTTAAAATACTACAATTTAAAAAAAAAAAAAAACAAACAAAAAGGGATGGTAGATAATGGAATTTTTATAAAACAAATATTCATTTAGCTCTGACACATTAACAAAGGTCAATAACTTCTAAGTGTGCAAAAAAGCTGTGACTCCAAACATTTTCTGAAAAATGGAAAGGCATCGACACAAACGTTTTATAAGAATGGGTACTCAGCTCAGAAATGTTTTTAGGAAATTCTTCATTCCCAGTTACATGGATGTTGGCAGTGTCTGCTTGTTTGTCGGGGGCTCCACACCGTCAGTGAAGCAGCCTGAACTCTGTGGAGTTTCTTACTGGTTTGTGTACAACATCTTTGGCTAGAGGGCAGTGAGCTGATGACAAGACCAAAAAGAGGATTTAGCAGTGTGAAGATTAAAATTGCAGTATGTCATGTGTCTAGAAACAATTAAATATTTATCTATTGCCTAAGTATCAATAACATTGGCAAATGTGTCATCAGCATTTAGCAAGGTTTAGTGACATACAAGACTACTTAGATACATTTCAACTTTTATGCCCCAGATTTGCAAAGTCAAATTAATAACAGACTGGTAAGCAGCTACTTGGCAACTGTACAGTGAAAAACACTCTTCTCACTACAGACTATGTATGTACACAGAGAGAGAGAGATAAGTACACTGCCCCCACCTGTCAGGTCTGCTGAGATGTGAGGTTTCTTTGTGAAGCTGGGCTGTTTCATAATCACAGAAGTAAAGAACACATTGTTTTATTGAAACCTGTCATTATATGAATAAGTCTCCCTCAAAACAAAAAGATTTTATAGAAAAAACTGCAATAATGAAAACATAAGGAGCAAAATCTGTCTCCACATCTTCTAAAACTGCTCTGTAGTAATTTCTGCCATGGCATCATTGAAGAAGCCTGTGCATATTTTAAATGTATGATTTTCACCAGATCTGAATGAGAGGTGAATACAAAAAAGTATCTGAGGGATGTTATCCCTTATAACTTTGTGAATAAATTACTTTTCTTTTTCCCAAACAATGATTTTTTTTTTTATTTACTCTTGTGGACAGTTATTGGACTACAGCTAGTTTGCAAACTTTCAAGTTAATAGTAAAGTGGTAAGATTATTCTGTCCACTGTGATTTCTGTAAATCCATTTTGCATGTCCACTTTGCCCAGAAATATAAGCCTAACTGTTCTGCCAAAGGCCTTACTCCATGTTCTTGTTGATCAAGTTGTTTCTTGCTGATTCTCCATTATATTGTTATTTTTATGGCAGCAATGCCTAGGAATCTCAGTCAGGATGACAGAGCTTGTAAACATTGGATCTTCATTTTTCAAGGAGGTTATCCATGTAAAAAATTCACCCTCATTGACATTTTGTGCTATCTCACTCATTGCTGTATGGTCTTTTAAAGGTGAGAGGCTCATTTGTCCCTAAACCAGTGAGGGATATAGGATATGAAATTAAGAAGATTATATTAATAATTAGCATAACTAAAGGATCAGCAAGGAAGAAGTGTAAGCTATGAAAACAATCCTGACACTTTTCCTCAGAAAATGAAAAAGCTAATTGTTGATCTTAATTCACAAATTAGTGTTGTTTCTGTTGACAGAATATTAAACCTTTTTCCTGTCTTCTCTATAACCATAGAGAGAATGCTGGAACTTGTGAGAAAACTAACAAAAAGCTGAAAGGTAATATATATGTAAACAAAGAGCATTATGGATAAAACTGAACATTTAAAGCAGTACTTACATTCTATCTAAACAGGCATTGACATCTTCATCTTTCTCATACTCCTTGCACAGCTGGGCTACCAAGGCCCCATATGTGAGTACAAAAAGTTCTCTGCTCTGTCAGCAAATAAAAAAATCAAAAATGAAGCAAGATAAAATCTTCCATGTTTTAAAGCTGCTGCTCATTAAAAGCAAGTGAAAAATAACATTTAAATCAATAAAGAAATTTTTGTCCATGGATGCATAATCACTGAAATCCACATTTCAAGCATGACAGAATCTATATTGATCCTCACTTGAGTTTGTAAGGGATTTTGGTTGTCAAGTACGATTTCTTGGTATACTCAGAGTTACTATTATCAGTAATTCTTGCATCTCGAGTGTATTTAAGCTGGATTGACAAATTCTGTCAAGTGCCATCCAAGAATAATAACAAACAGCAGCAGGAAAAGAGGCAATGAGCTATTAATTCTTCTGCAGTAGCACAAAAATTCACAAAGGTAGAGTTGATCTGAGTCAAATCATTAGCTGCTTTCTCTAAAAAAGTAAAAAATAGATAAAAATTTAGCTCAGAATAATGAAAAAATAGTATAATTCAGGACAAGGGTAAAGAATAACAACAAAATGAAAGGGATGCTGAGGATTGCAGCCCCCATGGAACATGGAGAGCAGCTGAAGATGCCAAAGGTTTATCTCTGCACTGGTCCTTCCACAAGCACTACTGTGGGGTCTTCATGTGTGCAACAATTTGGAGGAGAGTTTCCTATTCTCCCTGCCCTGTCAGATCACATCCATGAACTGCAGAACTGTCTGTATTTAGCAGGAGAAGCAGCTGTCCTTTAAGTTGGAGATTGGGTTGACTCTTACTAAACTTCTTGGACAGCAATTAATTAAAGTGCTATAGCCCTCTGGCATGTGGTCAGATCAGTGCTGCTTTTTGTCTTTAGCCTGTGGAAAAATAACAGTGAATACCAATAAAGACAGCAGAACAAATCACACTAGCAAGTTAAGAACAGCTGGGTGGAAAGTTCTGCTTCCTTTGCATCAGAAGTTTGGAGTTTAATCAGTGTTGCTGTTTTAACAAGACACTGTTCAAAATCTTAAGCAGAATCATTTTCCAAACTCATTTTAGTGATAACTCCTGTTTAAAAAAATATCCTACTTTTGGCCAAATTCTCAGTAACAAGTTTTCAGTGGAGTAAATGGATGTCATACAGGTCCTGTATTACTTTGCTATTATTGTTCAGAAAAAAGTCTCTGTTGCAACAAGAAAATTACCTTAGAGAAACTTAAGCATAATATATCAATGTAATCAAATTTATCAGCCACATTTGCAATCCATTGGAATACTTTTTGTCTGTAAACTTAGGTATATTAACTGTAATTTTATTACACTCTTCTATTTGTTTTTCAGTGGAGACCCTCTGTCCTCTTTTCAGAAATTGATACAACATTGTCTTAAAGTCTTCAGGAATTTTTCCACTGCCCAGTTCCTGTCAAAAATCACCATTCACCATAGAGAAAGCCCTAAGGGGTTTCTTAACTCCTGAAGAAAGGCTTGTTTGGAGTCAAACTATTCAAGCACAGAACAGAGATCTCCTCTCTGTGTTTCATTGAATGGCTATCTAACCACAGAGGTATGTAAACTTACCTGACATTTATATCTTAGACCATAAATACTTAAAGCACTTAGACTTCTGTTTCTGAACAGATTGCAGTCTCAGACACTTTGTGCCCCTCTTTCCCAAGCCTGTACAGAACCCCAGCAATTGGAATAGTAGCCATAAAGGCTGCCAGCAGCTCTGCTCTTGTACCACCAATCTTACCCTTATCCTTTCAGTATTTTCAGATTGTTCAGAAATAGGAGAGTATAAAATGCATCAATAAAATAATAAGTTACTCTTTCTCCATGCACTATTTTAATAACACATTGCAAAAATCTCTTACTATTTTGTGGTTCTCTTGCTTTCTTCCTGGTGACCGAGACATGCTGCTTGTGTAACTCCTGATGTATTTGATTGTCAGTTTATATCTTTTCTTCCTCAAGCACCACAGTCTTCTCTCAATCCTCTTTCTCTTCTCTTTTCTCCTCTCTGCTCCTCTGTCTTTTGCATGAGATGTGTTTGCTGCAGTCTGTAATGCTGCTGATGCTCCTCCTATTCTCTGCATGCACTGAGCCCTTTGGGAGGAATTTGACTGGCAACAGATCTGCCACTGTCCACAACATAAATAATCACTCCGTCCATGGGAATGGTTTGTAATCAAATACACAGCTAGCACACATGGGAAATCAAACAGAACAGATCTCACATTTATAGGGACAGTAAATTTATTTTTCTGTTTCTATCAGACTTTGTTGTTTGGAGAGCTAACAAAAACTTCAGCTCTAAAGAACAAAAACACAATTTCAAGATGCTGCTGTACAAGGGAAATAAAAATTGATTGTTTTCAATCTAAAGAAGCTATAGTAGTCTGCCAACTCTAACTGATGTAGTCTGGAGAGTTAATATCTGCCTCAGTTGGGGAAGTGTGGCTTTTAAGGCGCTGCTAGAACCATGTTTGTGCAAAGCTGCCAGGGCAGATTGAGAGAGCTCAGCTTCCCAGAGGAATAAATTCTGTACCTGTACAGCTGCCAGCTTGTGCAAATGGGCACTTTCACTAACCATGTTCCTAAGGGGTTTATAGAATTATTATTCTCTCATTCTTAACCTCTTAGAGCCCCTATTTCTTAATATCCTTGCAATGAACATCCAGGTTTAGTTCATCTATTTTCCCCTGTGGTAAATTTGGCCTACGTGGTAGTTTTGATTTGCAATGAACTTCAATGATGGTCACTGGTGAATTTAGAAATTAATCAGGTAGTTGTCATTCCTTATAGGACTTACCTGCACATATATTCCAAGTGAGTCTTCTGAGGAAAGGAAGTAAAAATATATGGCCTCCTCTGAATGCCATGCTGTTATTTAATTTCTGTTAACTAATAGATCCAGTGCTAGAATACAATTACATATATTTACTGCTACAGATACACAGAAGGCATTCAGATGTGAAGATTTGAGATAAGGAAGATTATTTTAAAATGGTAGTTTCAAGTTATGACACAATTCAACCAGGAAAAATAAGGATTTTCATTTTTTCTGTGTAAAACTCCATCATCCAAATTGCTTTTATTTCACACAGAATGAACTTGTATTGACAATTTTACAATGTAATTGCCTCTTCCATTTTTTTTTTCACATGCTCTTCTGACCCTGTAAAACCTTATTCCATTTTATAAGTGAAACAATTGTAGGTACTTCTCATATCTAAATTTTAAAACCAAGGCATTACAATTCTCTAGATAGTTACTTGCATTTCTAAACTGAGTCTGAGATGGGTTTGTTTCTCTGATTGTCTCCAACTGGTGACAAGCATCAAATATGCCCCACATTGCAAGAGTAATCCCATATTCCACAAGAAAGTGTACTGCATTACATTTAAAAAACCCCCAACCTGTAAAAGATTATAATTAGCATAATTCAACTTTAGAGAACCCACCACAAAGCACTTAAGACTTCTCATAAATGAGCACATTTCTATTTATGTGGTTCAGAATATATATGGATTAATTACTTCAGCCTGCATTATTAATACCATAATCATGAGGAACCTTGTGCACCAGGCAGTGCATTGGCAAGAACACATCAACATCCTTTGAAAAATACAGACATGCCCATGTGCACACAAATTTACACATATATTGCTGTGTATTGAGTAGAATGTACTATATTTCAAAAGCTTTGCACATCATTAAGAAAACAAAGCTGAAATGGTGTATCCAAATAAACTGGATTCCATGGCTCCAGTGAGGGAAACAAGTCCTTGGTGGACTGTCTTGCAGCCCTGTGAAAAGTAGAGGTAGGCACACATCTGGCACCTGTTTTAATCCTGAACATATACTTCTTAGAAGTAATCCAAGGCAATTGGAATAGTGAGAAAGTGAGAATCACCCTCCACCTCCCTTTCTGTCCTGTTTTTCAGGTGAGAAGTTTAGCCTTCAGCCCCAATTTGAGTCTTCACAGGGCTTGAGCATTAGACTACATCAGTTCTCTCAATTCTCATCAAACTAAAAAACAAAAACCAAATACAAAATATATCCCAAAGCTCACATAAAAGCATGCACCAGCACTCTGTCTCTTGCAATGGACTGCCTATTATGGGAAAACTGACACCTGCAGAGGCAACTACATGATAAGTGCAACACAGAAGTAAATCATAAATTAGATATTGCCTAAATAGAAAGCCCCCCCCAAAAAATACAGTGAAAAAATTCTTTAAACCAAAACAAGAATGCAATAACCACAAAAGGTGAGTGTCCAAATTAGTAAAATACAGAGTTAAGCTTTGGTTTACTCTCAGATTTTCAGGTGGATAGGCCTTGTATTAAATTTTCTCTGACAGAAAATAAAATCCCAAGAAGGTAGGTGTTGAGAATTTGAAGCTATGCGAAAAAAAGAACTTGAACAAAGGTTTCTCATATCACACATGAGTGCTTTTACTAGGAGTCCAGTGTGGCTGCTGCTCTCGCCACATTTCCAAGTAAAGCAATGCCATTGCTGCCACTTTGCTGTAGTGCCCTGCCTGAGAAGCACTCTCAGTTTGACCTGCAGAAACTTACTTGGTTAGGCCATGTATCTCAAGAGGGTGTTTTGAGATTTGAGCGCCTCCTTTCTGCTCTCTGCAGGAACCTAAAATCTCATAAATTTGCCTATAAAACACAGCTGAATTCTGAAGTGAAATTTGTAAGCTTTAAAAAAATCATTAACATATATCTATCCTTCCCTTAACATAAAACTTATTATTTTTTTCATCAGTGCTTGTCCTAGTTATGGGGACAGGAACTTCTCCAAAGGTCAAAGAGACCATGAAAATTACTTGTCAGCCTGCATCCAGACTGTGACCTGGCAGCTCACAGGACATGGGCAGTGCTCCCTTCTACTCCCACAGGAAACCTGTCATGCAGGTGCTTTTATACCATGCTTTCTAATGTGCACAGATGGGCTTGACATCCATGCAAAATAAAACTCAAAATGCAGCCAGAGGAGCTAAAGAACATTGGCCTTTTGACTGCTAATTCAGTGGTGTGGTGAGAACACATCTGCAAGACCAGAGAGACCAGGATTCTGTCTCCTCCAAAATTCAGATGGAAAATAGAAGATCACTTCCCTCTTCCTCCTTAATTTTGCCTGGCCATTAGGTAACAAAATCCTGGTCTTTTTTATTGATCCAATAAATATCAAAATCCTCCCGGTGGCGAAACTAAGCACAACTGGTAGAACTATGGCAGGAAAGTTGGAGAACACAGCTTCTTTGCAGCACAGTCACATCCCCTCACTATTAATAACTGAGCTTTTGAAAGAAAGAGATGAGTGAGTGAGTTTTTACTAGGTCAGGTGGAGAAGGGAGCCGAAACCAATCTCTCTATTCTGCCATAGTTGCTTTATTTCAATAAAAAGGAGAATAAAAATAGTTTGCTGTGTATGGGAAGGTGAAATCTGTATTACAAAAACCATGTATTAAAAGAAATGACAAATGATTTTCACTCCTTAAAAAAAAATCCTTTTCACTCCTTAAAAAAAATCTCTCCTTCTCATAAGTGAGATTACTGGCAGTGAGTTCAAGCTGACAGAGCCCTCCAATATGAAAAGCAAAACCATGACTAAGGTTTGTTCATGGATCCTATTTGCCTGAGATGTCAGCTATAAGCATCTTTTTGCCTCACAGGCCAGCCAGCTGTCACCTCAGGTAGTGGTATTTTGGATTGCATCCAGTCCTAACTCTTCCTTGGAATTGGACAAAGAGCCTAAATGTCTACCTCAGGACCCTGGGTTCCTCTGCAAAGGCAAGTACTTAAAGGTTTGATGTGCCACCCAAGCTCTTAATTGGATCCAACCCTGTAATTTGTTCCATAATAGGATGACCCAGCAGGATCATTTACAGCAGGCAATGAAAGCAGATGCCAAGGAATGAAAATGCAGAAGTACAAAGTTGTTGTATTGATTGTATAAATTGCCTCATTCAACAGCCTTAGGCTGACTATTAATATTTCAGTGTTGGATACCACTTCAGTTTCACATCTAACGTGTTTCTTGAGTAAACAAGTGATGCTTGGGGAAGATTTCCTCCCTCATAAACAAAATAACACACAAGTTCCAAAAGAAATCTCCGAAGGAATCAGAGATTTTAAAATTAACTGAGGCATAACAGAAAACTTTTAAAATCATTTTGTGATAGCTTTTTAGGTTTATTTCACAGATTTTTTTTCCCAAATATAACGTCACCAGTAAAAAAAAAAAAGTTACTGAAAATCCTGTGATACTGAAAGAAAATGAAGGTTTAAAATGGCAATATTCAGAGAGCTCTGGGATTTCATTGTGCTATTACTGTGTCCAAACAACTAAGAATGCAACAAGTTCCAGAAAAGCTGTGGTATAGTGCTGCTGGATGTTTCAGCATGTTTCTGTACTGCTTTTAATTTTGTGTAACAGCATCACATTGTTTGAGAAGCAGTTACCAGCAAGGACCTCCTTCCCAGATGGTGACTGGGGACGAGACAAGCAGGTGCCCACCCTAACAGTGCACTGGAGGAACAGGGTCCTGCCTAGTGAACAGGCAAGGCATGTGTAACATGCCATCCCTGTGTGCAACAGCTGAGAGAGCGTCTCTGCCATCCAAGCAGACACCATGGGTGCTAAAACTGCTGTTTGAGATAAAATTTATTATTAGCAACCCTCTCTGCAAGGGGAGAGAAGAGGCTGTGCAGACACTATTATACCACACAACCAAGTCCCCCCATGCTGGAGATAGACATCTGTAATGGGAAGGCAAATTTCCCCATAAACTTTCTGGCTAATTTTACCTTTTTTGTTTTCTTGATAAGAATGTTTATATGACAGACAGTCAGACTTTTCAGTACTGAAACACAAGTATTTGCACATTCAGATCAGACTAGGTTATGCAATGCATAGAACTACTGGATAGTGTGACCATAGAAAAAGTGTGATCCACAGAAAATCATCAAAAGTGAAATATTTTCAATTTTTCAGACCCCTGCTTAAGGCTTGATTTGTGAGAGATGCTCAGAGCCCAGGTCATCTATCCCAATATCCAGAAAACAGCTGTGGAAATGCTTAATTGAAAA